CAATAGCTGCCAGTGGTTCCCACTCCCTCTTCGAGGCAGGCGGCTGTAAACAGCACCGTAGCATCCAACCAGAGCTGTCATCCGACTGATGGGATGGGATAGCCACAGCTACGCGGCCAGAAACCAGCAGGAGCTCAGATTTGCACGTACTTTCCAATCCAATTATGCATTCGAGAAAGCCAGCCTTCCCCAACGCAACGGTGAGATGGGCCAAAATGAGCTCTTAGATCTAAAAACCTCCCTATGGTGTTTTGTCTCTGGATCCAAAGAAGCAGTGTCTCGAGGGTTCGGGGTAATCCAGAGGGTGGTTCATGAAACTGGACAATACTGAGAATTTTCTACTAAATAGAGGTGATACCTGGGAAGTGTTGGCCAGATTTCAGAGCTGTCTGATCTGAATGAAAACCTTCACCCCAAACAGCAGTCCACATCTAAAAAGCCCTTCAAAGACCTCAAACTGGTGGGATTTTATGAAAAATGAAATACAGGCCACAGAGTGAAAGAATTGGTTTTTAAGCCAAATTTCTTTCTCTGCAAGGAATTTAGCATAGAAAAGGCTTTGAGTGAAATATTTTGATGGAATAAAAAAAAAATATTTCTTACAGGGAAGTTTCAAATAAATGTAAGTTACCACTACTCCATTTTTAAATAAGCATTTCAAAATGGATGAAGAGCATTGTTTCGTTAGAAGTTCAGTTCCTAGGGCTGTTCCCAGGTTGACATTTGTAAACTTAAATTGCCCTTTACACCTACATCTACACACAGAATAATTGCAGGTAAGTTGTATTTCTTTGACTGGAAACTATCTGCACAAAAGCAAGGACCCATAAATTGAATGCCTTGGGAAGGAATACAAGGAATACCGAATACTGCTACGCTCCCTTAGTGGTGACAGGTATTAGGGGCATGTAATTTGGCCAGACACACCAGAAAAGAAAAAAAAAAATCCAAAACAAGCATACAAAACCATGCAAAGCATTTCCATGGGTACATCTCTAGTTTTCTCCTGCCACTGGAGCGAAGAGCTAAGCGTGTAACAAGAGAGCGTGCAAAGGAAAAGAAAGCCAGTGGATTTCGGCACCTGGCTGTAAAACAGCCAAGTGGTTTGTAGGAAGCACATACCCGGGAATAACTCCCGTTCCCGATGGCTGGCTGTGCTGCTGTTTGCAGAGTCAAAACAGCCCTTCATTAAACCCAAGTGAAGCTTTCGTATCTCCTGAAAAATATCACTAAAACAGCCCTGGGTTTTGTTCAAAGCACTTCCCATCATATGTAGGAACTCACTCTGTCAACGAAGCCCACCAGGCACCCTGGAGTACACTAAAGCTGTGGCAACGCTTACCAACATGGTACAGAAGCACAGGGAACACCACGGACCAGCCAGAACAGGAGGTAGTTACAGATACTGGGATCTGACCAAAGCACTGCAAGATGAAATATTTCTCATTAAAAAGTACCACAGGATCTTTAATTCCCACAAGTGGTCAGGAGCTGATTTTCCATCTCATCTGGTTTGTCTAGTTTAACTGTTCGGTATAATCACACACCTGACAACCTCTAGTGAATTAGTTTTCTTCATCGTTTCTTTGAGCAAGCAAAAAATATTTCCTACCCTTTGCAAGCGAGAAAATGAGGTACGGGAGGTACACCAGAAGTTTCTGGTAGAGCAAACAACTGAACGCAGCTGTCTCCCAACCCACTCATCCCTGGGCCACCCTTCTCCATCCTCAAGATGCCACCATCACCCATCAGGACTTTAATCCAAGGACGCTGGTTTCTTTACATGAGATATGGACAGGGAGAATTTTTCTTTTCTGTAGGTCTGCATTTTTATCCTATTTATATCTTCATTTTGCAGGGCTAGGCTGTGCTGTGGACAAGCCAGCAGAATTGGAGGGCATATTTCTACAGCACATTATTCAGTGCCTTCCAGTTGGTCTGCACACATAGCTACGTGAATGAGCGAGGGTTGCAAAAATGTATTTTGCCTGGGGCAGTGAAATAGCTGGGGCCAACCTTGTCGTTGTGTTTCGCTCACTCTTTTCCTACCCTATCTCTATCTTGGTTTTTCCTTTTCTTTCTCTCTTTGTTGTCTTGGTTACATGGGCAGATTCCTGATACGCTGCTAGTTTTCATTTTAATGATACGTTCCTGTAAAGCACAATATTTTATTTCAGTTGTGTGTGCCACTGGATAAATTCCTTTGACATATGTGACATTTGTATATCAACTAAGAGATATTGCTTTATGACTGTGGGTATTTTGCAGAGTATTCACAGATTACATACATCAAGATCTGATATGTAGTCTGCATCTTTCGCATAAAAATGCACACACAGAGAAAAAGACTGAAACTACAAGAAAAATACAGAAAGTTTCTCCAAAACCATCTTGTAATTACTTGCAGCAAGTCTTCCAACAACTGAGTAGAACCTGCTATCTTGGATTTAGTAGCTCCTCTCTTCACGCTAGCCAAAATACTGCACTGTAGCTTGACCACGTAGCTGCACCGCACCAGGAGAAAGAGCAGTATGTACCATGAATGGTAGGACTCAACAAGCGGGAAAAAAAAAAAAAAGACGACAGCTCCTGGGCTTTGTCCACTGGTACATGGAGTTCCATCTAATTCTACAAAGCTTATTCCAACTTACCCATAGGCATTTTTTTTGAAAAACATAAATCAAACTTCATGCTAATGTAATGGATTATGCTGGAGTTGCAATACCACTGTAGTATTTCCTTTGCTTCCTATTCCAGAGCACCTGATTGATGAGCCAAGATGGAAAACAAAGCTTCAAAAAAAGTCCGTGAAGTCTTGGCAGGGACCGAGGATTGTCAAGTGAAAATCCTGAGCGCCAAACTGCCCTGTCTGCGGCACCCAGAGGAGAAAACGGGCTGGTGTCCTGAGCTCAGATACCCTCAGGATCCCTGGAGGAAGGCAGCGTGTGGAGGAGAGTCAGTGACTGCAGAAGTCATAGCAAGGACAGGGCTGAACCTGCAGGAACTGGAGGTTTCCAGGAGCCTGGATCAACTGGTCTGAAACACCCACATGTGTTCAGGGGAGCCCTATTTTGCTTTGCATTCTGCCTCTCTGGTGGAGACTTACTCAGCCAAGGAAGATCTCAGCCTGAGACTCCAGCTCTGCTCCGACACATGGACCAAATGCAGTAACTACCGCAGGCAGAATATTCAGCACATTAGGAAAAAGGGAATATAATGAAGCTTTCTCAAATTACATCAGCCAGTTCAGTTCCCCTCTTCTCATTCCTTACCCTATAAGGCTGTCCCCGCTCTCTACCACACTCCGTAAAGGACTAAAAGCTTTCTCTCCTATTTTCCCCTATTAAAAGGAATCAGATCTTGGATTCTGCAATGTGACCTGCAAAGGCAAAGACAGAGCTGTGCCTGAGTTTGCTTCTCCTGAAGCCAAAACAAAAACCAAAAGCTTGTGAGTGCAGAGAAACAGCAGTCATTCTTAACTGTTTAGGTCTTTTGGATATTTACCATTCAGATCTCAGCTACCCCATTTCCCCCTCCCCCAAGAGACTGACTGGAGAACTAAACAGTTTATTATGATATCACAGATGACAGGGAAGCAAAACCTAATTAGTCAGGGGAGGAGATTATTTTTATTACAACTGTTTAAAAAACAATTTGGCTCCTTTTCCACATGCCTGAATAGACTATTAAAAAAAAATAAATAAATAGAATTCTCTTTTCAAAAGCATCAGCAGCCTTTCCTCTGTAGAACAAAGCCTGAGGTATTTGCCAGCGGGCAGGATCCCGTTCCCCTTGCAGACCTGCCTCAGCACGGGGACAATGCCATCTGAATTTACCCTGGTTTTCTTTTTAAGTGAAGAAAAAGTGAAGAAAGATAGAGGAACAAAACCAGAGATTTCAGACCTTCCTTAAGAATCCACGAACAAGTGACTCCCTTCCCCCTTTTCGCTCTGTCAGTCCTATACACAGGCCATAGTGGGTCACCTTCCTCTCCCCAACTTGGAAGTTATTATTTGCAGAAGGAATTCAAAGAGGAATCAACACCAAACCCAAACCCCAAGGCTCTGCCCAACCTCCTTTCCCAGCGTCTCACCCGTCTCCATTATTATGACAAAGCCACAATCTCCTCTCACATGTAATATTTTGCAACACTCCTGGGCTGAGCATTCAGACAAATATTGCCAGATTGGCATAGAGCAGTTGAAATGGATGTAGTGCCCATCAACAGTGTGAGAAGGTCCCTTCTAATCCCTCTTCTTGCCTTGAGAAAACCACAGGTAGCCAATTCCCAGCTTCCACCTCTCAAGCCTCTCTACTATTGCCTTACATGGCAAACTGCAGAGCTACAGCCCTGCAACAGGCATATTTTTAGTGAGAAGCACAGTGAGGAACATAAATACGCTCTTTATTGTATTTGGGTTTATGTGGCATCATCCATAAACATAATGCTCATTATCGTTCAAGACACAGCTTTCTTTTGATGTAACCGCTCTCCCTTCAGTACAACCACCCAGCCTGACCTAAACAGGGCAACCGCTAATCCCATGCTGGGCTCGTGGTGAAATCACAGCCCAGTCACATTGCTCTGAAGAAAGATCTCCAGAGAATGAATCGGCTTTCTTAACAAACTTCAGCTGCAGTCAGTTTTTCTCCAGCATGCACAGATACCCTGTGATCAACTACTTAATTAGAGATGGTCTGAACACAAAAATACTCTGTTGGATGTTAACTGCACCGAGTCTGTCTGTGGCTGGGCCTGTGGTTTGACTTCAGAAACATCCATTTGCTGATGAACAACAATTTGGAAGAAGGATTTTATTCTCTCTCACATCAGCTCCATCCCTCAAGGGTGAAACAATTTTTTTGGCCAACTGAAACATTTTCTATCCTCACAACAGATGATGCACCTTAGAATAAGGACTGCGCACACGCTCTATGCAACACTTTAACTCAGATTTTCATGTTCTTATGGAGATTTGAAGGATCACATTAGGTCTTACCTTCTTGAGCTTCCCACTCTTGGTGCCCACAAAAGCCAGGGAGTGGTTCTTGTAGACATAGGCAATCACAGATGTCATTCTGTCTCCATCCTCGGTGAAAATGGGGAGCCCTCGCACCATGGATGATACTCCCAAGGGGGCATTCATATCCAGGCCACAGAAATTGTCATCAATTGTTAACAGCTATAACCAAAAAGAAAGAGAGTGTGAAAAAATGAAGCCACCAATTCTTTAGACGTTTGGGAAGTCTCCATACAAGCAGACACACCATTGCATAACATGCCTGTAATTTATGGAGGCAGACAAAACAGTGACAAAGGCAGGACTGTAGAAATACAGAGGTGGAAAAAATTCGTCCAAAGTTGCATGATGAGTTACAGACAGAAGGAGAACTGGAAACTTGCTTCTCTTGAATGACAGCCCAGCAGGATACATTACGTTAAGCCTTTTCTCGACTGCTTTACCAGTCAGTTTTACCAGTCATTTTTACCAGTCAAGACTAAGCAATCAAAGACAACGTCTGCTGAAAATGTCTTAAACACATCTAGTTCTGTCAAAAAAAAGTATGCACATCATTCCCATGGGATCCAGAATAAGAACCACTGAGCTAAATCTGTACTGGCAAATAAAATAGACTCTGGCCTGCCCTACGGCCCTGAGGCCCAATAGTAAGGCTTATATCTATGAAACCTAAATAACCACTCCCCTCCCACCTCCAAACCCTGGAGCATCACCCACTCTACATCTTGGAAATTATAGTCCCCCAAGGCATGTCCAGGAATTGTCTGGGAGAGAACTGGTCAGCCCACACCAAATCCGCAGTAGGGACCATGCTAAGGATTAAACACTACAAACGGTGCCCATGCCCCATTTCTGGGGTGTCATTTAATCATATTGTCCTGGGTCCTTCTCTCACACTGTTTGGCCTGGGTACGTCATCCTCCTGGGTCCCCGCTTCTTCCCCATGAAATGGCAATTATCCACATTTATCCATCTCACTGGAGTACTGTAACTCACTGAAGATCTTCAGAGAGGAGGGAAGGTGTCACAGCTGTTATGGGAGCTTTCCAGCATGTGTTGGTGATACCCATGAACTCCTAACAACCAGAGAAAATGTCCTGTTCATTAATGAAGATGCCTAAGCTCTAACACCTGTTGCATTTGAATTCAGGCTTGTCATCACACAGGTGCTTCAACGGGATCCTTGCATGTGGATGCACATTATCTCTGAAGGCGTTTCTTTGGACTTCAGGGAGTTACAGGAGTGCACCAACAGAACAGTATGGACAACTCTTCTACCCTAAGGCACCATCTGGACAGCAAGTGAGGCTAATGCAGGTTGCCAATATGAAGATCTCCATAGAATAAGTCAAAGATGAAGATCCAAATACCACAGTACACAATTGCCAAAGCTGTTGGGCTTTATTAACTTCACCAGGACCACTCACAGATTTGAAGTTAACCATCCACTTAAGATGTTTTCTGGACTAAGGCTTAGAAAGGTAATAATTAATTGTAGAGGAAGGTTGCCTAGTTTTCATACATCAGTAATAAAGGACCATGACTATTTTCCTTGTCTGAGCCCACACCTTTCTGGAAGCATGGATAGAACATGTGCTGCTCCTAATTTGAGTTCATGAGCTGTAAAAGCCTGATAGTTGATTCATTTTATCCTCACCCAGCAATTACAGGGAATAATTACAGATAGTTTTACTGAATGGAAGAATAATGTGTCTTAAATGTATTTATAAATACATAAAACCTACGAGGAATTCAAACAGCGATTAGTAAGGAACAGCTCGCCTGAGCTCTGGCCTGCAAGTCATTAGTGTTTGTGGACTGCCCTTTCAGAGCTAAAACATCAGCTCAAAGAGCAATTACAGAATAGATCAACAGCTTTTGAGACCAGCAGACAGGGTGTTGCTAGTCTACAATGCCAAAGCGTAAGACAAATCTGCATCCCAGATCCAAAAGCCAAATTCATCGGAGGCCCGGTACCACCATACTGATGGCCACGCTTCAGAGAGGCAGGACACCTCCGCTGACAGCACGACTTGCAAAAACTAGGATTCTGTGGATAATGAGAACACAAACAGATTTGTCACATAGGTCAGGATGGAAAAGCTGCAGCTCGATTACACGCGAAGTACAAATGTGTTTGAAGCAGCGACACTACCCAGATCTTTCTGCAAGACATGAGACGCTGACTGTCAGAGATGAGTTAACGAGAGGAGCGGTGTGTTGGTCTGACACAGTGTGACAAGCTTTCTGTTCACCAATTCACTACCCGACACGTCACCTGGTGTGGGATCCATCTCGCCTGGCTTTAGCCATGTGAAACCTAAGTAGCCTACAGCAGTCATCTAAAATAACTCCACAATCAACAGAGGAAAGGAGGTATGTCAGAGAACAAGCTATCCAACCAAACTTTTAATGCACAGGATCACCTTCTGATAGACCCAGCTGATTGCAAAAGGACTCCAGAGTATTCACTCACCCTAACAATAAGATGTATCAGGCTTTGAACAGGAGGATTGGCCATATGACTTCTTGAGGTCCCCTTCAAACCTGAATCATCCCATGGATGTAGGATCTGAGAAGAATCCAGATCTGGAAGTCACGCCCAGTTTGACTGGAAACTTTTAAGCTCTCAAATTAACATTTCAAGGCTATATTAAAACTGTGTATGTGCCCCACTCAAATCAGTGGCCTGACAGGCTGAGAGAAGAATCATTTCAGACTAAACACAAGAAACTCCGAAGCCTTCTACAAACGGCAGAAAGACAAGCAAGGGAAGAAAGCCCTGCTTTGTCATGGTTTAAAGAAAAATGGGAAACAGCTTTTTTCACCACCAAGAGGATGAAAAAAAATCAACAAATTTCTTACCAGTGGATGAAACTCCATCTCAAACAGCAGGAAAACACACCAACAAGCAATGAAACGGTAGCAATCAAGCAGAGCTGGCACAGTCTGAGGCATCCTCCTTGGCGTAGCACAGTTTCCCACACAATTTTGCCGCCCCCCCCGCAGCACAGCCAAAACCAACCGCTCCAGCTGAAGCACTTGGAGACCAGAAAGGACCCATGGAATCATCTGCTCTGCCTTCCTGCACAACCCAAGACCTTGAATATCCAACAGGAGGGGCCTGTGCTGTTTTGCAGGAAGGTATAAGCTCCTTTTATTTGCTCCCCAGGAAGGTCTGAGCCTGCATGGCTGTAAGGATACAGAACTGAGCCGTCTGTAACCCACTCTATCAACAGCCAGGATGCGTTAGCTGGAGTGTATGATTGCTGTAGATGTGTATCAGAGCTCACATAGCCAGAGTAAGCTCTCATCTACCTGCAAAACCCTAAGAGGATATAGACCCAGAGATCCCAGCATCAACCACAATAACCTGTGGCCAATCTGCAGCACATCTCCAACCTGTGAGGCTTAATTAATCCAGCTGCCAGAGATTAGTTCCTCCTCTGTCGGACTGGGCCCAGCTCCAGCTGAACTCTTAATGGGGTTGATATCATGGTTTCCCCCCCCACACACACAAAACTGACTTTAAGTCCATTTATTTAATTTTATTTCCCTGAGATTATTTACACAAGGACACATCCTTATAAGAAGGCCTTATAAGAAAGATGGGGACAGACTTTTTAGCAGGACCTGTTGCAATAGGACAAGGGGTAATGGCTTTAAACTTAAAGAGAGTAGATTCAGACAAGATATAAGGAAGAATTTTTTTTTTTATTATTTATTTTTTTTTATTTTTACAGTGAGGGTTGTGAAACACTAGCACAGGTTGCCCAGAGAGGCAGTAGATGTCCCATCCCTTGAAACTTTCAAGGTCAGGCTGGTCAGGCCTTTGAGCAACCTGATCTAGTTGAAGATGTCCCCGGTCATCACAGGGGTGTTGGACTAGATGACTTTAAAGGTCCCTTCCAACCCAAACTATTCCATGGTTCTGTGATCCAAGCACCAGGCCAAGGATGAAGAGTGAAATCGGCGGTTTCTCCTACATGGCACTGTTCAGATGAGATCTAGGACCACCACAGCACACCCTAGCCTCTGAGACACACAAACTAGCCCGTGAGGGCAGATGAGGCCATGGTGTTCACCCACACGCTGTTGCGTGGGTGCCAGAGAAGCAATTGCAGAGTTGTGGTTTGCGATGTGGACAACCATCCCCCAAGAACAGAAGCAAGGCCAGCAAGCCACGCACCACATGAAAACTATTTTCATTTAACACATTTGGGTTATTTCCCCTGGGGATCATCTGCAAAAAAATGCCAGCAAGCGAAACCCTACATATAAACATCACCCAGCTTCTGTGCAGCTGTGGCTCTCAGCTGCACATGCGCCTTTGTAAAGACAGAAATACAGTCATCTTCTTCAGCAAAGAGAAACACGTAAGGAAGTTTGGATTTATGATGAAAGGGTCAGGAGTTGCAAGCACAGGTTTATTTTCAATTCCAGACACTCCTAGCAGCAATATAAAGTAGCCACGTTAAACTCTCTGGAGCTTCTCTGCTTGGCAATTTCACGTTAACGACTTTCCAGAATGAAAGCGGAGGTGAGGACATGAATTCACTCTGCTTGCAACACTGCTGCCTCACCGGCTGGGATATCAGGGAGGGGCAAAGGGAAGATCTAAGGAGGCAGGAATGGGATCAGCAATTCTCGCATCCTGAGCAGTTAAAATCTAACCCAGAAATTCACCACGCAGTCTGTAGGTAACTGGGAAGGGAAGGGAAGGGGGGCCTTGCAGTTGAGATGTTGGACTGGAGACAATCAGTTCATCATCCCACACCAGGTTCCCACCTGCAAAAGGGGGAATATTGCTCACCGCCCCTCTGCCCCAGGAAAGCCGCTAAACACAGGTTTATGAGGTGCTCTACATATCCGAAATATCTTCATGTGAGAATGATTGGCAGCTCCCAGGGCGTAAATGCCCTCCTGAGTCCCACCAGCTGCCTCTCCATCTTAGGGTGATGTGCAGGGGGGAGCCAGCTGGTGAGAGGCTGCAGTCTGCTCCTGCCGCCGCTCCCTGCATGGGCAACCAGGGGGTTCATCTGCAGCCGTGACACCATGGCCAAGTGTCACATTCACCAGTGAAATAAGAAGGATGTGCAAAAGAATGGGCCTGATTTACAGGAGGATTCTGGCAGGCATTTGCCTTCTCCAGGATTAAGCCT